ACCATAAATTAGGACTCTATTCAGAGACCCATTTATGTACCTTAGAATCCACTTTAATGCTTGCTAGTGAGTCTTTCCAGGATTCTCCATGTACCTGCTTACAAGGCTTACTGCATATGCTATGTCGGGTATAGTACATACCATAACATACATCAAAGAACCCACTATATTAGCATATGGAATGCTATTCATATAAGTTCTTTCAATATCAGTGTTGGGACACTGATTTATACTCAGCTTGAATTGAGGGTTTGTCGAAGTCACAACAGGCTTTAAATTTGACATACCAAACTTTTCGAGAACCTTCCGTAGGTATGCCTCTTGAGATAAGCATAATTTTGACTTTTTTCTATCTCTTCGGATGTCAATCCCAAGAATCCTAGATGTAGCTCCTAGATCCTTCATGTCGAACTCCTTATTGAGTTCAACCTTCACCCTCATTACATCTTCAACATTGTTTCTTGCTATTAGAATATCATTCACATAGAGCAAAAAAATAACAAATGAAATACCCAGTCGAAATCTGAAGTAAACACAATGGTCGAACTGACTTCTGATGAAACTTATGCATGCCATGAGCTTTTCGAATCTCCTATTCCACTGCCGAGGAGATTGTTTCAGTCCATATAAGGATCTATTCAGCTTGCACACATAATCTTGCTTCCATTTTTCGACATACCCTTCAGGATGCCTCATCAGGATTGTTTCATCTAAATCACCATGCAAGAACGCAATCTTCATATCCATCTGTTCTAGTTCAAGGTCAAATTGTGCCACTGTGGCAAGCAACATTAGAATGGATATGTGCTTCACAACAGGAGAGAACACATCATTAAAGTCGACACCTTCTTTCTGAGTGAACCCCCTAGCAACCAATCTTGCCTTGTATCTCTTCGACGTCACTCCTTCGATTCCTTCCTTAACTTTGAAAATCCATTTACAGCTGACTAACCTAGATCCAGCAGGTTTCTTGGTTAGTTCCCAGGTGTTGTTATCATGAAGAGATTTCATCTCATCATCCATGGCCTTCAATCATTCAGTCTTCTTTCGACTCCTCATAACTTCCTTATAGTGTCTAGGTTCTTCATCTAGAACCTTGCTTGCAGAGATTAAGGAATAAGCTATAAGATCTGCATACCCAAGTCTCTTAGGTGGCTTGATGACTCTCCTCGACCTGTCTCTTGCTAGCAGGTAGTCATTATCAGTCTCCTCATCTTCGACAACATCTTCTGCATCTTCTTTGACTTCATTTGGGATACACAATTCAGAATCAACATGCTCCACCTCAACAGGAATCTCTCCATATTCCAGCTCTTCGTTAGCATCATCAATTTTCTTGAAAGTCATCTCTGCTTCATTGAAGACTACATCTCGATTGGTAACACACCTCCTATGACCTGGCTCTAGGTACCATAGCCAATAAGCTTTGATTCCTTCAGGGTATCCTATAAACATGAATTTTAGAGCTCTAGGTTCGACCTTGTCTTGCCTAATATGAGCATAGGCCACACAACAAAATACTCTTAGTCTGTCGAGACTAGGTGGATGTCCTGACCAAACTTCTTCAGGTGTCTTCATTACTAAGGTAGTCGAGGGACCTCTATTTATCAGGTAAGCTGCTGTCAAAACAACCTCCGCCCAAAACACATTCTTCAATCCAGCACCAACCAACATGCATCTAACCCTTTCAAGGATTGTTCGACTGAATCTCTCAGCTAAAACATTTTGTTGAGAACTACCTGCTACAGTCTTATGCTTTGTAATCCCATACTCAACACAGTAACTGTCAAACGATTCGTTGCAGAATTCAAGGTCATTGTCGGTTCTTAACCTCTTAACCTTTCTTCCAGTTTGAGTTTTGACCAGAATCTTCCAACTTTTGAAATTCTCAAAAGTTTCATCCTTCGTCTTATGAATAAATACCAATAGCTTTATGGAATAGTCATCAACGGTGGATAGAAAATACCTTGGACCTGAGTGTGAAGGATTCCTTGCAGTTCCCCAAAGATTAACATGAATGTAATCCAGGGATCCATGTGTTCTTTGCTTGCCTTTGTTAAACTTCTCCCTACAGGATTTACCAAATACACAAGATTCACAAAACTCTAACTTTTCGACTTTGTCACCTCCTAACAGGTTTTGCTTCCCTAATTCGACCATGCCTCTTTCGCTGACATGGCCCAATCTCATGTGCCATAATTCTGTCTTCGACACAGGTTTCGTGGATGAAATATTTATCGAACCACTTACAACCTTAGCCTCAAGGGTATACAAGCCTTGTTTCTTCACGCCTCTTAAGACTTCCTTCGACCCCTTCATGACTCTTAGGATACTTTTCTCTCCTTGAAAAACATATCCCTTTTTGTCAAATTCACCAAGAGAAATAAAATTTCTCTTCAAGTCAGGTACATACTTGACTTCAATCAATAACCTTATTGACTCATCATGGAGCTTGAATCTCACATATCTAATACCTGCAATTTTATAAGATTTATTGTTTCCCAGCAGCACAGATCCACCATCTTGATCATATAGCTCCTCGAACAATTCTCTGTTTAGAGTCATGGGCCAAGTGCAACATGAATCCATAGTCCACTTTTTTCTCGAGTCGCCACTTGAAATCACAAGAACATCAGATGACTCGAAGTCATCATGAACAATGGCTGTGTTGCCATTACCTCTATGATCTTTCAGGCGTTCAGGACACACCTTTCTTGTGTGGCCCTCCTTCTTACAGTGATAACATCGAATACCATATGTTTCGCCACTATAAAACTTTTGTTGACTTTTACCTTTCTTCTTGTTGAACTTACCATCCTTTCGCAAGAAATTTTTCTTAACTGCCAAACCTTCACCCACAATCGAAGGTTTATGTTTCTTTCGTTCATTCAAGTCCTTAAAATACAAGGTTGATTGAACTTCTTCAAAGGTCAGGGACTCCCTTCCATACAAGAGAGTTTCTTTGAAGTGAGCATGTATTCTGGGTAAAACACACAACAACAACAGTGCTTGATCTTCTTCATTGATCTTCACATCAATATTTTCAAGATCAAGAATTAACTTGTTGAACATATCCAACTGCTCAGCCAACACTTTGTCTTCACTCATCTTGAATGAATACAAAACTTGCTTCAGGTAGAGTTGATTCACCAGAGATTTGGTCATGTACAAACTTTCATGTTTCACCCATAATCCCGGTGTTGTAGTCTTTTTTGATACCTGTCGAAGAACCTTATCACCAAGGCTCAACAATATTGTGTTGCGGGATTTCTCAATCATGTCCGTCTTTTCTTTTGTCGTTAACGTGGCGTCCATGGCTTCCTCTCCCTTCAACGCTTCCAAACAACCCTGCTGAACCAGTAGGGCTTTCATCTTCAAGCGCCACAGACCGAAGTCGTTCACTCCGATGAACTTTTCAATCTCATTCTTTGTTGAAGACATCTTCTCCACGCTCACCGCATCAATTTTCTATGAATCAGATGTCTTAAAACAAAATATAAACGGTTTGTTTATAATCAAGAAACACATAAGGATTAGGGTTAACAAAGATAATAAGGTAAAACAACAAGGAACAACAAGGATTGATTATAAACTGCTGTTATTTCCTTACTCTTAGAACAAGATTATAAGTATACAAGAATAACAAAATATCCTCTCTCTCTTGAAATTATGATTTTATCTTCCTATTTTTCCTTATGGCAAGATTGAGAAACTAACATCCTATTTATAAGAAAAATAACACACTAATCTAATGAGGTTTTTAACAATTACTCATTACAAACTAACTTAGGGTACAAGTTAACTTAAACAATTGGGCTTACAAGCAAGACCCAATTCAACATGCTAACAATCCTAGCAATATTGACTAATGCATATTAGAACAAACTTCAACTACAACACGATTACTTCAACAACAACATGCAAACATAATTCAACCTCATACTTAATTTCTGTCGAACCAGAAACTACTTTTTGACCATACTAAAGTTCGATCCAATATCTCACAGTGATAATTAAAAAAAAAAAAATTAAAAAATGACACTTAAAAAAGAAAAAAATATATTATACAAGTCAAAGTTGAATGATAGATTCATTTATTTATTTTTGAATCATACATTCGTTTGTTACATTTTCTTTTCAATTTTAAATGAAGAATGAAATATAGGTACATGCAAGGGAGGTCTTAAGTGGGGAAGCTATAACTTCACCTTAAACCTCCCGGTTGACTACTCTCTTTATTCGTGTGCATTGTGTCTTGGATTTCATCAACTCTATCATTATATTAAAAACTTCAAAATTAACTACAAATAAATATTTATTCTAAAACAAATTTGCCTCTATTAATTAAGTTGTTTTTTAAATTTAAATATGCCCAAAAAAATTAAAAAGAACTCTAAATCAATAATTTTAGTATGCCATTTCTCAACTTCAATATTTTTTTCAAATTCAAGTCTAAAATAAAATAGATATTTGTAACAAAAAAAATTCAAAACCTATATTATATAATAAAATTATAACTATAAATCTTTATATATATATATATATATATATATATATATATATATATATATATATATATATATATATATATATATATATATATATATATATATATATATATATATATATATATATATATATATATATATATATATATATATATATATATATATATATATATATATATATATATATATATATATATATATATATATATATATATATATATATATATATATATATATATATATATATATATATATATATATATATATATATATATATATATATATATATATATATATATATATATATATATATATATATATATATATATATATATATATATATATATATATATATATATATATATATCGACTCTCACACACACGATACCTTAATTTCTTTGAACCAATAAACTCAAGTTCAATCTTCAAAAGTTCAGCTTGTTATACCTACAACTTTTTGAAAGTGGAAATCAAAGGCTATAAAAGCTTCCTATGGTCATTGAAGATATGATGCCATTGCCAAACTCCATGGAAGGAATTTCTGGATCATCTCTACCCTCCAATTCTCTCCTCTTGAATCTCTCTATTCTCAAAGAAAAGTTCAACCAAGTGCAAACTCTTGTAGGTGTTATTCTCTCCCCAAATCATCAAGACTCATCAACTAACTCCATGGCCATATCCAGCATGAACTCAACAATACAAGAAATGATAGTAACCGCCACATCAATCATGTTCACTTGCCAACACATGGCTCTTAGTTTTCCTCAAGGTACTACTACTTCTAATGCATGCACAAACCTAGAATTGCAAAAGGCACAATCTAATATTCATTCAAACTTTGACAACAATATTAACACAAACATGGATCTTAGAGGTCAAAGTCAAAGCTTGTTTTTTAGTAATGAGTTAGAACAATTGGATTGGTTTAGTGAAAGCTATAATAGTAACATTAATTATAGGCTCAAGGATGATATTGATGATCAAAGGGTTGATCATGAAATTTGTGAAACCAATAATAGTATAAAAGAGTCTAACGAACCTATTCTGATGAAGAATAATCGTGATCACGATAATATGAGCCTAAAATTTGGACCGTCTTATCCATTATGTGACGATGAGATAGTTGAATTAGACGCGTCGGATTTATTAGCTAAGTATACACATTATTGTCAAGTTTGTGGTAAAGGGTTCAAGAGGGATGCAAATTTGAGGATGCATATGAGAGCTCATGGGGATGTGTACAAGAGTAGTGCAGCATTGAGCAATCCAATCAACAAGAATAAAGACTATTTGGTGAGTATGAAAAACAAGAAATATTCATGTCCTCAAGGAGGGTGTAGATGGAATCAAAAGCATCTCAAGTTTCAACCATTGAAGTCATTGATTTGTGCTAAGAATCATTACAAGAGAAGCCATTGTCCCAAAATGTATGTGTGCAAGAGGTGTAATCAGAAGAACTTCTCAGTTCTTTCTGATTTGAGGACTCATGAGAAACATTGTGGTGATCTTAGGTGGCAATGCTCATGTGGCACTACTTTTTCTAGGAAAGATAAGCTTATGGGACATGTTGGTTTGTTTGTAGGACACCACCCTGTTATCAACGGTTTGTCATATAGTACTCACACAAATTAAAGCACTAGTCATTTGTTAATATATGTAGGTTGATCTATATATGTTGGTTCAAATTTTTCTTTTAATTTATGTATTTATAAATATGATTGATGATGAAGAGTTTTATGTTAGCTTCACAATGTTGATGTTATTATTATTATTATTATTATTATTATTATTATTATTATTATTATTATTATTATTATTATTATTATTATTATTATCTATGTTTATGTAATTTGATGATGAAATTCAAATTAAGTTACCAATGTAATACATGGAACAAAGTATATGTATATATTTTTTTAGGATTAAATATCTTATCCTTAAAAAATTATCAAATTTTATTTTTGTTCCTATAAAAAAAATAGTGTGTTTTGATCCCTACAAAATGATTATACACGTAGTTTTAGTTCCTACTGTTAAATTAATGTGTATTTTTAGATGATTATTTTGCAGATATATTTAGAACGTTATAAATCATTTTACGAAAAAGAGTAACTCAAAATTTGATTTATAAATCGAGATTTTCATTATTTTTATCATTATCTTTTGAAATTTAAAAAATTCATATTTAATTCTTCTCATTTTAAAAAATTATATAATTTGGTAAAGAAACATTTTATAGTAATCTGAACACGTATGAAAAAAATTATTCAAAATTTTAAAAGTTTAGGGGTAATTAAATAGTTTTCAAATTTTTAAAAAATAGCAAGGACTAAAACTGCTTGCATAAATTTTGTGTAGGAACCAAAATATGTCTTTTTTTTAATAGAGACTAAAAATGAAATGTGAGATATTTAAGGGACCAAAAACATATTTAACCCTATTTTTTATATCACCCTATTTTTTATATCGACTGTTTCTATGGGCGGGAAGATTACACCGAGTAGCTCTGTTGTTTTTTATAGGCAATGCAAAGTATAATTAGAGGGAGTACCAGGGATACTCTAATCCAATAAACATAATCCACATCAACACCACTCCAGCATATAGATCAATAATTACAAAAAAAACACTAGGACATTTTAGCCAATCATAATAAGTGCAACTAGAATTATGTTTATATATATATATATATATATATATATATATATATATATATATATATATATATATATATATATATATATATATATATATATATATATATAAATAAGGAAACCACCACCATGAGAAAAGAATAATTCTATCTACGATAACCTCAATATTACCCACCTCGTCGTTAAAAATAATAAGATTTATAGAATGGTAAATGCACCAACACGATGCAAACCAAATGATGCAAGCCGTAGATTTTGAGCACTCCTTCAACATTGGGACCGCCCACTCGAATAAGTGACTATGCGGATCTACTTCCACTAAACAAGGAATCCCAACCCAAGAGGATAGTCTCTTCCAAACCTCAGAGATCTTAGGACAATAGAAGAACAAATGACAATTATCTTCATCACAACGAATGCAAAATAGGCAAACCTTATCATGAGCATTTGATACAATCCCTCTACGAGACAATTTTAATCTAGTGGGAAGTCTATCCAACAACAATCGCCAAGAGAAAATCTTTACCTTCAATGGAATTTTTGAATGCCAAACCAGCCCCAAGGCCAATTTCTGATCACCCTCCAAAGCTAGCCAATTTGGATTCAAAGTAATAGAATCATAACACAATTTGACCGATAATTCTCTGTAAGCACCAATAGACCAAACCACTTTATCAATACAAGTAGGCAGTGGCTGAATTTCCTACAAAATCGGTAGCAGGTTTTCCTTTTCATTGTTGACCACCTCCGAATCCAACTCATAATTAGTATTAATATTCCACTGCCAAATGGAACTTGCACAATATCCAAAAGCCATCACAGGTCCGCCTTTATTGGTCGCTGCCTCGAATAGTGTAGGATTAAAGGACATTAGTGATACATTAGCAGCCCACCTCGACGACCAAAAAGGAACGACGCTTCCATCACCAAGTTTACTTGTCACAATATTAGCGAAATAACCTGCAGTACTCGAATCTCCAACAACCATAAGATCACGCCACCAAATCAAGTGATGACATTTAATCAAAGGATCAATGTGGGACATCACCCTGGACATTAAGTTTCCATATCTGATCCTTCATAGTTCCACTCCATAAAGCTTGTTCATCCGTCAAAATTCTCCATAACCACTTAGAAAGCAAAGAGGTATTGAACGACCCAACATCTTTAACTCCTAAACCACCCAATGTTTTCGGTTTGTAGACCGTACTCCAGCTAACCAATGCAAAACCTTTTTTCTCCAGCATACCTGACCAAAAGAACCTCCTCTGTATCAATTTGATTTGTGCAACTACTTTGGTAGGAGCTTTGAAGAATGATAGGTAATGGATAGGAAGATTAGAAATGACAAAATTTAACAAAGTAAGCCTACCATTAATAAATAACAGTTTCCCCTTCCAAACAGACAGACGCGCTTTCAAGCTTCTGATGACCAACAACTAAAAACCAGTACACCTATGGTTACCTCCAATTGTGAAGCCAAGAAATTTACAAGGTGATTTTTCTTTCTGACACGCTAAAAAACGTGCAGCCGCAATCAAAAAAGACTCTTCCACATGAATTCCAAATAGATTACTTTTAGAAGCATTAATCTTCAACCCCGAAATCAATTTGAAAGCACGACGTATAACCTTCAAACCCTAGATACTTGCCCATGATACATTGCATACAAGTATTGTGTCATCAGCAAATTGAAGCGGGTTGTGAGATATCTCATTATTTATACTAAAACCAGTAAGAATCTCCATTCTTAACGCATCATTTACTACATAGGCGAGCCCTTCCGCCACTAAAGTGAATAAAAAATGGGACAATGGATCACCCTGTTTGAGCCCCCTAAAAACTTAAAAATCCCTCGTTGGGCTCCCGTTCACAAGCACAGACATAAAGTTAGAACAAACACCACCTTTGATCCATTGTACCCATTTTGCCCAAAGCACATAGCCAACAAGATCTTATCAAGAAAGTATCAATTGCTTACCGAGGATGAATGCAGTTTGTGACTGCGAGACCAGTTTTCCAATCACCTTCCTTAGCTGAGCAACCATGATTTTGGCAATGACTTTATAAATACATCTAATAAAATTTATAGGGAGAAATTCCTCCATACCTTGTGGGTTTTCCACCTTCGGAATCAATGCAATAAACGAAAACAACATGGATTTAGGAAGAACGGTGGTAACATGAAATTCAGAAACACAGTTCACAACATCAGCACCAATGATTTCCTGACAGTGCTTAATAAAGTTCAAGTTAAATCTATTGGATTCGGGGGTTTTTCCCCATCACAATAAAAAACAGCAACTTGTACTTCTTCCACAGTAAAGAGCTCCTCCAACGACGAACATTCGATCAAATTGAGCCTAGGTAACCCCGACAAGTCAATATTAGGTCTCCTAGTATTATCCCTCGTGAATCTATCTTCTCAATGATTTTTGAATTTATTTTTAATAAAAGTCGCATCTTCCAATAATGAAGACCCAACCCTGATAGCAGAGATCATGTTTCTTCTGGTCCTGCAGATTAACATTGAGTGGAAAAACCTAGTATTTAAATCTCTCTTCTTAGCCCACTTTGATCTTGACTTTTGTTTTATCATACTTTCTTTCAAACGGAGCGAATCCCATAACGACTCAATCACAAAACTCTTCCTGGCCAAAGTATCACTAGATACAATTCTTGCTTCGTGAAACATGGCAGATTCAATATCATTCAAGAGCTTCACATCTGCTTCAATCTTGATGTCCACCCAACTGAAAACCTCCTTACTCCACCACCTAAGCATGGACCTTAAAGATTTAAATTTCAAACACAACACATTGGCAGCAGACCCTTCAAAATTGAATGAACTCAATTCAGACTTGACAAACTCTAAGAATTGAGGGTGCTCAAACCAAAAGTTAAAGAACTTAAACAGTTTAGGTACCCAATTAATGGAATTAGCACAAATCCACATCGAACGATTGTCTAAAATATCACGATCACCGATTCTTTGAGCAACCACACTCCACCTACTGATAAGATTTTCAGACAATAATAACTTATCCAGTCTAATTCACCAGCTCCCGTTTGCTTTAAACCAAGTGAATGTATCCCTAATTGTGGGTGGATCCACCAATTCCATCATTTCTATGAATGTTCGAAATTCCTCCATTTCCACATTGCTATAAGATCATTGACCCTTCCTTTTTTCTATAGCCTTGATCGCGTTAAAATCACCAACTTCCACATGATTCGATTTTCCCTGAGACTACATTTAGCATAAACATTGATGAATTAGCAATTAATCCCGTTCCAAGTCAGATTTAAACCCAAGAACTCGATGCCTCTGAAACTATATATTGGATCTAAAACAATGATTGGAAAAATAGCAAATGTACTATTTTGCCAATGTAGTAATAAGAGGGAATTTCCCCAAATATTGATCTCGAGGACTGCGTAGGAATATAAGTTTTAATTTCAATTTAATTAAATAAAAACTCCTTGGGGTTGAGGATTGTTTTGTGAAATTATAAAACAATTGCATAAAAATAAACAAAGTATATGAGTGGTTTAGAAAATATATGAGTAGATTATGTTAGATATGGTGTGTAATATGACTCAGTAACAACTCTGAATTACACTGCAACAACTTATTGTAACTAACTAATTACTGATTCTTTAGAATGTTTACCCCTAAGTTCTTAGTGAGAAAACCTTTAATAATTCACCCTAATTCCTATGTCCATAGAGAACTACAGATGAAATTAAGCAATCAATTATCAAGAATATTCTGATCCCTATAGGGTATCCCTAGTCCTAGGTGATATCTACTAAAAAATGATCCAAAGCAAAGTATTAACAATGACGGTCCAGCCTAATCGTTAATCGAAAATCAAATCCTATTTGTCCGACAAGGAAAACATTAAGAATAGCTAGAGATCAAATCAGTTATAAAAAACAAAGGAATTGTTATTGCAATACTAATATCGGTATCAT